CTTTAGACAACAATTCTGATGGCAAAAGAGCCAAACGGGACAGGCCAAAAAAAACCCAAAAAAACCCAAAAAAAAAAAACAAGAGGTTTTCCATTTGATTCAATTTTATATGATGGATTATGCATAAAAAATAGAACTGTGCTAAAAGGTCTGTTGCTTTATTACGTATTCAGGTTGTTTATCATGTTTTTTGAAAGGTAACTAAGTAACTAAGTACTTTTGAAAATAAGTAATGATTAAAGCAATGGGATTACTTTTTTTTTTAGAGTTAATCAGTAATTAGTAACTAATGATCCTTTTCAAGTAACTTGACCAACACTGGTCCTGACCTCATGATAATTAAGATGACATCATGCAGTTTGAATGCAGTTTAATAAATAGATCTTTTGCCACAGACTTAAAATATTTGACAAACCTTCACAGGTTGATATTTAGTGTTTGCATGTGTTTCCTGTTTTGTCCCTGTGAGCATTTACGACAGAAATGGAGAAGCGCTAACAGAATTCATCAGTCCTAATCTTGTTAATCTAGGAGTGACTATTGTCACATTCCAAAAAAGAGGCATATTCCAGCTTTATACCACCTCGGGTCTCTTCTCAGTCCAGAGCCACACTGAACCCTATGTTTCATATAGGGGCTCCTATGGGAATGACATAATGTCTTATCTTCAGCATCCTTACAATATACGCCGTAAAATGCACATTGATTAGGCAAAATATGTTTGTCTTTAAAAATATAGTCATCTAAGAAAGCATGGATGGACACATGGCTGGAAACCCAGATTTACATTGTAATTATTAACAATAAAACCATGGCCATCAATAGTGTAATTTTCTATCAAAACATACATGAAAAGACGGCATTGAACCTGCAAGGACTCAGTTTTTATTATACTATAATAAGGACAGTGAACTATAATATACTTATATACTATACTATATTATCACTGATGCTGTTATCATTTAGAAAAGATAGAAATGATCTTTTAAGCATACTCAAAATGCACCAATATTATACAACAGCAGCTCTGCACTGACAGCTATAATCAAATCATCCTGCTTATCAAATGTTAACTACCTGCTTGTTTACAAGTTGATTGAAGAAGTTTAAATATGTGAAGTGGAGTTAAAGTCAGGAGACTAGGAGTGTACCTGACATGGGTGGATGGTGTGTATGCAGGAGTTTAAATGGTGATACTAAAAGCTCCTCCTGAAAATACTCTTTTGTCAACACCCACTGTGTCAAATACTGGCATTACGTTAGATGTCATTGACTGTTTTAAGTGCAAACAGATACAAAATCCTGGTGTTTTTACCTCATTTGAGTCCCAACTCCTGACTTTAAGCTGTCCCGTGGTTCTAATTATAGTCATCTATCGTCCACCTAAATATAAAGACTTTTTTCCTTCGGAATTTTCAGACTTCTTGACATGTTTTATCGCTCACTATGAAAGGATTCTTATATGGGGGGACTTTAATATTCATCTGTGTTGTGAGGATAAACCCCTGGTCAAAGATTTCTTAAATGTAATTGACTCCTCAAATTTCACACAATCTGTGTCTGGGCCAACATGTAAAGGCCACACCCTAGACGACGCCCCGCCACACACATTAACCTGGTAAAATACATATTTAGGCAGAATTTTGCAAAGATCTATTTTTCATTTTTCAGCAGCATAGTGCTTTTTTTTCGAATTATTTTTAAAAGTCATGTCAAGGCTCCAAAAGCCCAAAGGCGACATAAGGGTGGCGGCTCACAACAGTTTTTGTTTGCTACATGGATCATTTTAGTTCAGGTTGGTGTCTTTCCATTTGTTATATTTTTTTTAAGAGTTCAAAATGTAATTTTCTCTGTAGCACTTCATGGATTTCATAAGCAACACACCTTAGTTGTTCACACAAAGCATAAAGGTATAAAACAATATATACGGTGTTATCTTCATTTTAGATGTCAAAAAGTATTTGCGGCTCCCAGTGTTTTCTTTTGCATGGAAACCAGGTCCAAATGGCTCTTTGGGTCTTAAAGGCTGCTGACCCCTGCCCTAGACCTTGTCTTGGGTTACGGACTGAATGTATCGGTGACTGAAAACTGTGTTTTACCTATTTTAGACCACTCAGTAATTTTAGTTGATATTTTAATCCCTAAATCTTCAGCTTCTGACAAGGGAAAATTACCCCTGAGATCATCTCGTCATATTAGCCCCGAAGCATTGCTTGGAGTTAAATTACATTTACCTGATGTGTTGGACCCCATTTTTACCCAGGAGTTATGTGTGGACACTTTGACTGCGAACGTTAATATTACACTTTTTCTACTGGACTCTGTTGCACCTGTAAAGAAGTTAAAATGTCAACAAACGATATGCCCTGGTTAAATGAGGAGCTCTTGAATTTGAGAAGAAATTGTAGAAAAGCAGAGCGTCGCTGGCAATCTTCCAGACTAGAAGTATTTCTCCAGGCTTGGAAGGACTCAATGTCTTTTTTTCAATCAGCGATGTCTGCAGCGAAAGCAAATTTCTTTCTTTCAAATTTCTCAAATCTCATCATGAGTCATAAACATAACTCAAAACTCTTATTCAACATAGTGTCGCAACTTACAGAGAGTAAGTCATCTCTCTACTGTTTTAATTTGACAGCTCATGACTTTCTTATGTTTTTCAGAGACAGGGCTGAAACACTTAGGAATCAGATTACTCCCTCCTCGAGCTGTACATTAGACTACTCAGCTGCTTTACCTGTTGGTGCTGATGAACTGTTCTCTGACTTCAAGGTTATTTCTCTGTCTGGATTAACTAAGGTTGTAAAAGCAGCTCGATGTAAAACCTGTTCTTTGGATCCTCTACCTGCTAAATGTTTTATCATGGCTGAGATCTTACCTGTCTGGGAGCTCTCAGACTGCTGGTTTTAAAAATGATCTCTCTCCCGAGACGTGTGCAGTGAGGCATGGGGTCCCTCCTGTTTTCTATGTATCTGCTGCCTCTTGGTGTTCTTTTACGTTCTTTTAATGTAACTTTTTATTGTTACGCTGATGACCTGCAGCTTTATGTTCCTCTAACCATTGAAAATTGTGCTGAAGTCTCTAAACTAGAATCTTGTCTATCTGCAGTTAAGGGCTGGTTATCAGATCATTTCTTGCTCCTAAATACTGATAAGACAGAGTTGATGGTCATCGGACCACAAACATTTCAGCACTTGTCCCAAAATTTCATCTTGAAAATTGATGACAGTGTCATAAATTGCAGGGACAAGGTAAAAAACTTGGGCATGTGGTTCGACATGGTGCTCTTCTTCGAGTCTCACGTAAAAGAGATAAAAAAAGACCGCCTTTTATCATTTGAGCAACATAGCCAAAATCAGACAAGTTTTGTCAAGCGACACCGCAGAGGTTCTTGTTCATGCATTTGTGTCTTCACGGATTGATCATTGTAATGCTCTTCTTTCTGGGCTACCAAAGAAAAGTTTAAGAGGTCTACAGATGTAAACAAGCAAGGATATAAACTTATACAAAAAAAAAACTTTGAATGTGGCAGATGGAAGGCACTATATTCCATACCATGAATTTATTTTGACACTTCTCACTCTGTGATAGGTGTCAATGTGAAAATATACCCCTATTAATTTAATTTTAATGAAAAAATGTATATGCCTCACTCAAATGATTATGCTCTTCTAATTATTTTTCTCTATTTTGCTCATTTAACAAACAATATTTTGCATTGTTTGCATATTCAAAAACTTACATTTTGATCTAGACATATCCTTGCTTGTTTACTTCAGTAACAATTTTATTGACTTAAAACCCATTGCAAATGTCAGTGGTAGAGTCAAGAAATTTTGTACTTCGGTGATAAATGCCTTTATGTTTATTTTATATTAATATTTGAATTTTATTTCTAGATCATCATTACATCTAACAAGCAGCAAGTCAGTTACTTCAGTAAAGGTTTTTAATATAAACAGATAAATCAAGACATATCACATGATTATTGTAGGTAAAAACTATAAAAAAGGTAAAAACGAGAATTTATTTATTAATGTAAATGTGAAAATATAGTTCCAGTGTTTGTAAAAAAATGGAACAATGTCGCAAACAATGACTAATGTTAATTAGTCAGCACTGACATTTTAATCTTGTCATCAGTGTTATATTAATATTTAAAATATCAGAAATTTAAATGAAAACATTCAATATGTCATGTAAATGAAAAATCAAAGAATAACTTTAAACGCTAAAACATCTAATTTTGATTTTACTTGTGGGTATGTTACTTTAAAAAACCCACATGCCTTCATTTAAGGCTTTTTTCCTTCACTTTAACGTTGAGGTATTTGATTCAGAGACAACACCACTGTCACCAAAACAAAGAAGAAGAAAAAACAGTCCTGATAACTAACTCATATTTTCACAGTAAATTTATATAAAGTGATTTCTTAAAGGGTGATTTCTTAAGTTAAAAGGAAAGGAAGGGAGTTTCTTTGTTGCTCTTCTACATAGCTACATATTCAGTGTGTTCAGTTTATATACAGTTAAAACATGGAAACGGGTGTACAGGATGAGCACAGGGTTACAGAGGATGTCTGTTTGCACAGAGATGCCCTGCTGCTGTTGCTTCAGTAGAACATACACTGCAGTTCTGCTTCACATGCGCCTGTGGACGTGGATAATGCCGCTGCAGGAGGGGCAGGAATGCTCCACATCCTTGCAATCATTGACGCAGAATGGTATGAAACAGCAAGGCCAGCACCTGTTGTGAACAAGAATAGCATCAAAACGGTTATCATATGCCCATCAACTCATTCATTCTACAGATTGAATATTAATAATAATTTGGGGAGTGAAGAGAGGAGAGTGAATAAGAAATACTCAGTGCCTCACAAACTCCAGTGTATCACATTGTCCTGCAGCAATCTGAGCATGTTGCAGTATAAATAAGGTATGGTTTAGGATCACCTGATTCAGTCTTAACTATAAACTTTATCCGAAAAAAAAGAAAAAGGTTTTGAGTCTAATCTTAAAAGCAGAGAGAGTGTCGGTCTTTCAAATTGACTCTGGGACTGGTTTTGTGGAAACAGCCTGATAGCTGCCAGTTAAATCTTTAAAAACTCTGGGACCCACAAGTAAGCCTGGAGTGTGAAAGCAAGGTGCTACATAGGGATAATATGGTACTATAAGGTCTTAAGAAGGAGAAGAAGGAGTCTGAATATTTAAGAATTTGTATTCGAGGAGAAGAATATTAATTTCAATTTAACAGGGATTCTTCAAAGAGAAGCTAATATGGGACAAATATGCTCTCTCTTTCTGGTCCCTGTCTCACAGCAGCATTCTGGATTAACTGTAGACTATATGTCATATGTCACAACATGACCCAGAGTGTGAGTAAAGCAGTGAGTGCGATCATTTACATTTTGAGAAAATTATTAACTTTCTGTCATGGTCCTGGGTCTTCGAGCCAGTGTTTTGGGTTAGTTTTGAGTGTGGTGGACTTGCGGTTTTATCTTTTGGATTTCAGAGATGATTTAAGCTCATTCTCTGTATTATTTTGTTCTGAGTTCAGCATTTCCTGGTGCTTTTGAGTTTTGTTTTCTATATTTCTGGTTACTGGGTTCTTGCTTATGAAACTTCTTTTTTATGTCCTAGTCTTGTCTTTGTGCTTTTTCCTGAGCAGCCGTTGTGTTTATTGTGTCTATTTTGTCTCTGTTTTTTGCCTTTTGTCTTTCAAATCCACAAGTCTTTGTCCAGGTCAGTGTTAGTTGATTCCTGTTTCATTTGACAACATGTTGTCCCATGCTTTTTGTATTTAGTTCTACTTCCTGTGTCTAATTATTTGTGAGCGGTTTCAGCTCCTCCCACCTTTTGCCTGTTCCCTCATTATACTCTGTTTATTTAATAGTTATATAGTTTCCCCCTTACCCTTTGCTGTGTTTTACCTCGCATTTTGTTTTACTTTAAGATTAGTTGAATTTTGATTTCCTAGTGTTTTTGACCTGGATTACTTTGTTTAGATTCTGACAGTTATCACTTGAGGGTGTTGATTAATTTAAACTACCATTAAACTACCTTCATTCTGTGAGGCAGACTAAATCAATATTTTGATCAAATTTTGTTGAAATGTTTGATAAACTACAGATTTTCTGTCCTACCTTCATCAGGCCAGCTGGTATAATGATGACTTGATGAAACAGGTCACACACAAATACCAAAAAACTTTGATATTTACTTAAATGTTGCTGAGAAAATAATCTTATATGACATTTTGCAGTGTGTTCAAATTTCTTCATGTGTATGTGTGAGTATAGTGGGGTTTTGACTCACAAGAAGACTCCTAATAGGCCACAAACCAACCAGGTGTATGGTCCGATTTTGTACTCAATTTTAGTCACAACATTGGTGTGGCAGTAAGGGCACAACATCTGTCCAGGAACGCATTTTGGCAGATTCTGCACCACCACCATTTGGCTAACTGCGAGAAACAACACAACACAGCCAAAAATGACTTTAATTATTATACATCCTTACTAAAACTCCACTAAACCTGGAATTTTGTGACACCAAATTCAGATTTAACCTTCAACCACAGAGACTAAAGTAACATTAATGAATCATAAATTAAGAGCACTGTATTTAAGTATTTAAATATACTATATGACTAGTAACCTCTAATTTCTCACCTGTCTGGACAACAGGCTGGACAACAGGCTGGACAACAGGCTGGACAACAGGCTGGACAACAGGCTGGACAACAGGCTGGAAAACAGGCTGGACAACAGGCTGGACAACAGGCTGGACAACAGGCTGGACAACAGGCTGG